GTCTCGAGATTTGCGTCCAAAGTGTTATGCCCCAGAATCTGGTGCAGTATCTTTTTTGGCCGTACAGGATCACAAGGGAATGACAGTCACAAGAGTAATGAATACATTTGAAGTCGCTCCCCACCCCCCGATATCAGCTTGTTATTTTCTTTCCGTCGAACACGTTTCACTCCGGCGGCAAACCTTCGTTTTATAATTCCTCGCTCTAACTCTGGGTTAATCGTGTCAGCAGTGTGGGCAATCGATGTCAAAGTCTTCTCACCTCTCGATGTACATGTCCACCGACATCATGTCCCTTTTGGAGACATCCTTGGATCGAAGATGTCGCCCTCATGCCCTCTTGCCGTTTGCCATTTCTCCATAAAAAAAGACATTCGGAAACAATATATATATATATATATATATATATATATATATATATACAATAATTCAAAAATATGGTTTCAACGCTACACAGGAATTACCATGTTTCAAAAACATAACCTAAAAACTTCAAATTCAATTATAGAATTAAAGTCCCTAGTCCTGTTTCATTTTCTAGCGAATTTTAAAATTTTGGTTCCATTTGGAATTTTGATTCCATTTTGGAAATTTAGAATTTTGGTTCTAAAATCCGCTTGTGAATGAAACAGGACTAGGGACTTTAATTTAGTTCCATAATTGAAATTGAAGTTTTTAGTTCCTGTTTTTGAAACATGGGGATTCCTGTGTAGCTATGGAACGATATTTTTAAATTAGTAAATTTGTAATATTTCTGGTCTTTAGATTTGCATTCAGCACTGTTTTATCAAAATAAAAATATTAAGAAAACCGGATTATACATCTTACTTATTTTTTTCTCCAATAATATATATATATATATATAAATATATATATATATATATATATATATATATATATATATATGTTTGTGTGTGTGTTTGCATGCGTGCATGTGCTGCATGCCTCTATCTAAATGTTACACATGACTTTCAAACTTTTGGTTTCCAAATAATACCAGTATCCAGATAAAGAAATTCTGTCCGCCAGGCAAACATCGCATCTTCTAAACATCTTCTAAACATCTTCTAAACATCTTCTAAACATCTTCTAAACATCTCCTCCATTGGGCCTGGTTGGAGTGTAAATTTATATCACATGAAAATTCAGAAGTTCAAAATATCCCCTGCCTTTTAATCAACATAAGTCAGTTATAAAACTGCTGTGTATTTGTAAGGTTTTAAGAATTTTCAATAAAAAATATTTTCTCTCTAAGGATTGTTGTTATTCGGATTGTTTTGATTTACATTGCAGTATATCAAACTTTTCATGGTTAATGTAACTGAATATGTAAATTTTACAATAATATGGTAGACGTTCCTTTCGGTTGAACGACATTTTAAAAGGCAGACGTATCTTTGTTGTTGTGTTCTCCCCCCCTCTAAATATTCAAAGTTACACTCTTCCGGCTATTATAAGATTAAGTAAATGGTTAAGTAATAACAAAAACCAGGTTTGCAGATATATCGTATATTAAACAGTAAGTACACCAGAAGAGTATTACACAAATAGTGAGTGTGTATCGAATGAACTAGCGCTCTATCTATTCACTGTTAATATTTAACAGAACGAGGGATATATGTGACACAAGGCCGAATTTACCGTTGGTTCTTTGAGCCCGTAGGCTAGGCCAAAAATATTGACTTTGAACCCGCATAAAAGGGTTCAGGGCCTGTATACCTTCCCGGAAGAAACTTTGCCCTTCGGCAAAGCCTTGTCCGGGTTCCTCTCTGCTCGAGGCAAAGAGTTAGAAGATGAACAATCTATGCAACTGTTATATTTAACAGCTCCACCCCTAATACGATGGATGTATGTGACACAAGGCCGAATATACCGTAGGTTCTTCGAACGTTTAGGCTCGGCCAAAAATATTCCTTTAGAACCTACATAAACGGCCAAAAATATTCTTTTAGAACCCACTTCCCCGGAAGCCTCGTCCGGGTTCCTCTCTGCTCAAGGCAGAGAGTTCAATAGTCATGAACAATCTATTCACTGTTCCTCGAAGCCTTCTGTCCTACTAATCTCTTAGTAGGCGGAAGAGTCTAACATAGACTTTTTCGAGGGAGGACACCACAACATTTGGTCTGCAAGAGATTCAAAGAGATTTTGTATTGTTTGGTTTCTTCAGATGCTGATATGGTGATTATAGTTTTTGTTTGCAAGCTGATAAACTAACTAGACATACGTTCTTTTCGCATTCAAGCAAGAAAGTTAAACATACGTTTGTTTTGCACAAGATTGAATATTTAGACTAGATATGTAGTTTACACGCAAGTCAAAAAAGTAATGTTAGCTCACACTTTAGTCGAAAAGGTAAACATCAGTTTAGTTTGCAATGGAATATAAAAAGGTAGACATATCTTAACGTACATGAAAGAAGAAATGGTAAACATAAACTTTGGTTTCCACAAAAATAAAAATGGTAGATACATATGTAGTTTGCAGGAGAGTCGGAAATTTAGTAGATATTGGTTTGGTTTGTACGAGAGCTATAAAAGGTGACATATGTTTTGGTTTGGAAAAGAATAAACAAAAAACTGGAAACCTAGTTTTGGCTTGTACGCAAGTCAGAAATATAGATAGAATTTTTGTTTGCTGGGGAGTCAAAATCGTAGATATAAGCAAAGCGATAACGTGGACCCTTTTTTATGGGGCTAGCCTCTATGCATAAATAGGCATTCAATGTTATCCTGATCCCAGCCGACAGGTCGTGTTCCTTGTCTGTGTGAACGCCACTCTTCACATACTAGGATATCAGAATAGAATATCAGCATAGAAGTAAGATCTTGGTATGTAATTACTTTTCCCTATCGTAACATTGTCTCCAGGAATGAAACAACCTCACAACACTTCAAGATGATTTAATAATTTGCTTCCTTAGTTTGAGAATAGACTTTCTGAACTGCGTTTAATTTGATATCTATGCACACGTGTGAAGGGGAATAGAATTAAGAAAGATAACAGCATCAAAATTGTCGTCAACAACGATATGACCTGCGCTAATATATACTTCGTCTGTGTCTGTCACAAAAGACATTTTGACACGTGCATTTGGCGCCTATCTATAGACATGCCACCTGAGTGACGCCGTAATAACAATTTCGTCATATTTACAATAGTGGATATTTTTTTCTAACAGGAGTGTATATTAAGAAGTTTGAATTGACAAAGAAAGTGATAGACATATTCTGAGAAGAGAAGAAATTTCTAGGATACGTAATGAGGAAAGAGGCCATAGAGAATATAACACTCCCAGGACGTAATGAATGTAAGGGAAGAAGAAAAGAATCGAGTAAAATACTTAATTTGTTTGCGTGAATTGGAGACAAGTTAAGGACAAATTGGGATGGCAGTGGACCAAAATTTGTTTAGGGCAACAACAAGCAGAATATTCTGGAAATGTATGACAGGCAAGGTACTGAAAATTCATAACACATTAACAAATGAGTGGGTTCCTGTTGTAAGAAAATTTTCAATTTTATTTGTGGCAAGTAGATGAATAGATTTCTTCTTCTTCTTCTTCTTCTTCTTTCCTTCTGTAGGCTATTGGCTCATTGCGGGTTGTTAGGGCGGGTGTGATAATCTTGGGGGATCATACCTCTTGTTGGGGGCGTATGCTGGTCATTTCTTTGGTTGGAAAACACATGTCTGGAATGTTTATCCCACAACAAAAATGGCGGACTCCGTAGGTGATTCCGGATAATACAATGTAACAACTAAAACCAATATATATATATATATATATATATATATATATATATATAAACGATAATGTATTATTATAAAACGTAAAAATTACATTGTTCGAACGACAAAGACAATGATATTGTATGTATGTAACGAAACAATGGACATGCATGAAGATAGTTAAAGACTAGTGACTTGTTGGTTTATGTAAAATGTGTGTATAAGTCCTAGAGAAAATTAAGTTGTGTACGTACCTGTGTGTGTGTGTGTGTGTGTGTGCCTTTCCCAATTGGAAACACGTTTTCGCAATAGACCTACATCTTAGCGTGTCTAAGGATATTAGGAAAAATTGAATAGTAATGGAAAATGAAGAGAAAGGTTCTGGCGCGCTTGGGCGCTTTTCTCTGAGTTTGACCTACATCTTAGCGTCCCTGGGTGAAATAGGAAAAGAAAATGATAAAAAATATTACAGTGAATCTATAAGTTCAGAAAGCGTCCTCTAGTGGCGTTTTTTTTTGTGTTAGAAAAATAAGTGGGGTAACACCACACTCATCTCGGTTCATGTTTCACGTCCACGTTTGCCGCATTTGGTACTGCCAAGCGATAATCCATCCAGGTAGGTACCGATAAGGCTCAACGCTGCTTACCTTTGGTGATTGTACGGGAACCGATGTTTCAATATGATACGGATGTAAGCTTGAAAATCCTCGCTTTCCGTCTTTCCGATCTTGAAAAATGATAGAAAATATGCAACTCTCATAAGATTTAAGATTGTACGATTATTTTTTAAAGAAGATACTGATCAAGAGAACCATCTACTGATGAACCCATAGCGGGAGGGAGAAGAAATGGATTCATACTATTTCCAGGATTATTAGCGCGTGAGTGAATATAGCGAATGTGACTGGAAATGGAACTCAACTGTTCGATTTCCAATTTCAAGCCGTTAACCATTACACCATCCGCACATCCAAGCTTACATCACCTGGTATTCTCAAGCGGTTACCCATCTAAGTACTGACGACACAAGAAACTTTAATTTTTTGTTGTTTTTTTTCACTTTCCAGAAAATATATTTCTATTTAATCTTTTTTTTTAAATTTCTGATGTCTGATTAGATTTTCTTGAATGGATAGTATAAGTTGTCTGGATTTCAATATCCCAGAGTATCTAATTATTTTTATGTAATTAGTAAATGGTACCGTTTCTGGCATGGTCGAATCCAAATAATTTGCAAGATGTCATGATTGCTAGTATTGTTGCCGCTATTAAGTCTAACATGTGATGTGAACGATCCATAAAAGCGAGAAAAGAAAATTAAAATCTGAATATGAGTGTGCAAAAAATAAATGGAAATACATAAATAAATGATATAAAGAAAAAAGAAACGAAGGAAAAGAAAGAAAGAAAGAAAAGGACGGAAAAGAAAGAAAGAAAGAATGAAAGAAAGAAAGAACGGAATGAAAAAAGAAAATGAAAGAATTGAAGAAAGAAAAAAGAAAAAGGAAAGAAAAAAAGAAAGAAATAAGAAAGAAAGAAATAGAATAAAATATAAAAAGAGAAGAAAAAGAAATGAATAAAGAAACTAGGCAAGGACATATAACAGGAAGGGTGAAAGGGAAAATAGAAAGACTATTAATGTATGAAAAGAAGAAATATAACATAAGATTAAATAAAGGGGGGTACAAAGAAAGAAGAAAAGAAAAGGAAAGTAAAGGACGAAAGAAAGATAGAAAAAGAAAGAAGTAAAAAAAAGAAAGAACAAAGAACGAATTATAAATAAAGAAACAAAGAAACAAAGAAAGAAATAAAAGAAAGTAAGATGGAGAAAAGCGAAGAAACAAGAAAGAAAAGAAGAATAAAGAAGAAATAATAATAAAAAGAAAGAAAAAAGAAAGAACATAGAAGGAAATAGAAAAAGAAAAAAGAATGAAGGAAATAAAAAAGGAAAGAAGAAAAGAAACAAAGAGAGAAGCAAGGAAGAAAAAGAAAGAATAAGAGAAATGGTGAAGAAAGAAAGAATGAAAACATAATCAGGAGGAGCGAAGAAAGAAGAAAGAAGAAAGAACGAAATATCGACTGAATTAATGAACAAAGAATGAGAATGAGAAAAAGAAGAAAGAACCAAAGAAAATAGAAAGAAATGAAAAAGAAAGAAAGAAAGAAGACAGGAAGAAAATAACAAAAAAAGAAGAAAGAAAGAAAGAAAACATAATGAAGAAAAAAGAATGAATAAGAAATAAAGAAAATAAAGAAGACACAGAGAAAGAAACAAAGAAGGAAGATAGGAAAAAAAGAATAAGAGAAATGAGAAAGAAAGAATGTACAAAAGAATCAGAAAGATTAATGAATGAAGAAATAAAAAAGAAAGAAAGAGTGACTGAATTAATGAAAAAAGAATGAGAGAAAAGAGAAAGAACGAAAGAAAAATAGAAAGATATGAAAGAAAGAGAGTAGACAAGAAGGAAATAACAAAACGATGAAATAAAGAAAAAAAAGAATGAACACAGAAAGAAAAGAAAAAGAAAGAAGTAAAGAATACACGAAGAAAGGAACAAAGAAGAAAGGTGGGAAAAAGAAAGAAAGAAAAATGAATGAAAGAATTAAGAATTTGAGAAATGAGAAAGGAAGAAAAAAAGAAATAATGGCCAAAGAATGAGAGAAATGAAAATGATAGAAAGAAAGTTGAAGCAATTAAACAAAAATACAAAGATAATATTGAAGCTAAAATAAAAAGAATCAGGGACAAAAGGCCATTTTGAATATAGTTAACAGATCTGAAGTAGGAAAAGTTCAAGTAATATATGAATAAATAACGGAGAAATAAGAACGAAATAGATGAATTATAGAATGCAGGAAGAAAAAAATATGATGATATGAGAAATAGAACCTAGTAACAAAGAGCAGGTTACAAAGAATATCAAGACTATATTCGATGGTGCTGATAATAAAACAGGAGGCGATGAAAAGATGCGCCATTATGGCGGAAATGACAAATTGTAAAAACATATCTGTAAATATTTTAAAAGAAATCTGAATGAGGCAAAACAAGAAACGAAATTTGAAAAAGAAAGCAATGAAAACGTGAGCACAGTAGAAAAATAAATGAAATGGAATAAAAGAACAGTGCAATTAGGTTTGAATCAGAGAAGAAAGAAAAAAAACTCAAATATCAATATAAAATGGAATGAAATTAAGAAAATAATGAAGGGAAGAACTGAAGAAAGAAAGGCAAAATGAGAATGAAAAGAAAAATATATGGAATGAGAAAAGAAAATGTCTAAAAGCTAAAAGAAATTATGAAAAGTATAAAAGGAAGAAACGAAAAATAAGTCATCAATGAGAAGCGATAGAAAAATATTTGGAAAGAAAGAAAGACAACTAAAAAAGTAATTCAATAAAAAAATAATTGGATGAACTAAAGAATATAAGATGAGGAATTATAAGGCAAAACTGAGAATCAAATGATAAATATATAGAAAGAAAGAAAAAAATAAAAATAAAAAGAGAAGGTTTATCGAAATCCGAGAAGAATTTATGTAGAAAACTAAAGGGAGAAATAAAGAAGAAGAATAACAAAAGAAAGAAAGAAAGAAAAAGAAAAACTGGCGGGAGGGATAATCAAAACTTCAACGAGAGAAATGAAAGTAGAAAAAAAAGATGTGAATTGAAAATTATAGGGAAAGAATAAAAAAAAAAAAAAGAAATGATGAAAGGTTAAAGAGAAGTGAGCAAAAAAAAATAGAAAAAGAACAGGAAGAAGAAATAAAGAAAGCGAGGATGAAGTTGGGTAAACCAAAAATGGGAATGAAAGGGAAAATTATCGCAAAAGGAAAGGAAGCAGAAGCGATAACCGAAAAATGAATGTAAAGCTGGAAAGAATTTTTCAGAACAAAGATTTGGCCTATCTTCATCAGCTGAAGGGCACTGGAACAAACTGACAGCAAAAGCTTACAGCGACAGACAGACAGACTGACGATAAGAATGGACACATAAACAATGTCGGTATGGGGATTCGAGGGATATGGTGTTGGTTCGGCTAACTGAACGGACAGAGAAGCATTCATCGTCATAATTGTATCATCCCGCGTTTGCCTCTGGTGTTCGGTGAATGAAATATTGTAAGTAAATAACAAATAATCATACAGCAAGGCAGGCGGCCATTGCTGAGATTTGGCGAGATAGGAGGAAGGAGGTAAATGGTAACACGTGACTGACCGCTGGGGTAAAACATTCTATAATAATGACTTGCTCGATTGAACTTGGACAGTTCTTATTAATAAAGATTAGTACAAGCGAAAAATAAGGAGAAATGATGGTAGAGGAATATTTACTTGAATATAAATATTTGGGCATCATTTCATATCTTTATAAACAAAATGTATGTGTATGTTGGCAAATGAATGACAAGATGGAGGAAAATTTGTAGTGATGCGTTTCATTCCGAGAAGGAACTTCTTCAGAGGGTTTTATTGACGGAATCCATCTTAGACATGATAAAAGATGGCGGATAGAATAAACACCGGCTTCAGTTTACCAGGAAACATTACAGATAAAGCTATTCATTTTGACATCGGGTTTATCTAAATGATACGTGTTAAAACGTGAATTCAAAGGTTGAGCGCCTCTTTCTCTTTAACGTTTTGATGTCGAGTGTACAGGCTTATTATTGTGCTTCTACAACCACATTTTCTCCCTACTGTATATACATAGTGTATCAAAAATACTTTTATAAAAATGTTGGGCGGGTTCCTCTCACAAAAGTCTATATAAACATATATCATCTGTTAAATGTACAATTCAAGATACAATCAAATAATAATTATTTACCATAGTTTGCTGTGCTACGTATCATGTCTCAAGAAAGAAGAGCCACATTTTCATTATGGCCTGACGAATGGCTTTTTTACATAGCGAAAAGAAACGCCATGGTACAGTGCAAAAGACGCAAAGACAGCAAGAATTAATCAGTTGTAGTCATTATAACGAACTTTCTCACAATTTCAACATGATGTGAAACATGTATGAATCATTTTTGACGTGGAATGAGAGACATTTTCATGAAAAGCCACAAACAGATCGTATCTTTATGCATTAAATGTGACTTTGCCGGATATTCTAATCTTTCTGAAGAAATAAAGATTCTTTAAAATTTACAAATTTACAATTATCGTGAAAATATATCATTTAATTGTTTAAATTGTTCGATAAAAAAACCCCTCTTATTTGAAAATAATGGAATCTCATGATTTTTCTTCATACCATATCAAGAAGGTCGTCAATGCGCGAAATTGGCCGAATCGTTTATATACATACATACACACACACACAAAAATACATACACCCACAGACATACGAACACAGACACACGAACACAGACTCTCCCCCCATATATATATATATATATATATATATATATATATATATATATATATATATATATATATATTAGAAAGATGACAAATAAGTCTACGGGAGAGCGTGGTTGTTGTAATACCAATATATGTATCGGATAAATTATTAGCATCAGAGATACAATCTCTGAACGGCCAACATAAAATATATATATATATATATATATATATATATATATATCACACACACACACACACACACACACACACACACACACACACACACACACACATATATATATATATATATATATATATATATATATATATATATATATATATATATATATATATATATGTATATGATTCTTAAAATCGCTTGATAATGGCATAAAACCCTGTATTGGAGATTTAATTTTTAAAATTAATCTAGATTTGGAGCTATTCGTGTGAACCACAGGATGTTCTGTGCCAGGATGGAATCATATTTTTAAAATAATAATAATAATAATATTAAGATTTACCGATCGTATTGAGCACTGTATTTTTGTATTTTTATATATATATATATATATATATATATATATATCCCGCCGATTTCAACGTATGAGGATCTGACAACCTCAGTAAGTTTTTTTTATTTTTGCGTCTTATGTGACACTACAGTCCCGCTTGTGACCTGCATAAGTATACAACAACGAACAACGTGGATCTCAGGACATAAACACAGGAATATTTGATGACGCTTTTCGCCGTCCTCTTTCGTCTCTTAGCCGGTCAATACGACTGATTTCGAAATTTCAGATACAATATATATAGTTATTTTACCATAATGTTCACCCTGTACAAGCCTGAAGAGCTAGACGAGGCCTACGGTTACAGAGTAACACGCACAGATTATGGTTATATGTGGGGAAGATAACCGTTAGCACTGGCAAAAGAACAAAATCTGCAGTAATGAATTCATACCTTTCCCAAGGCTGGTTGAGCTAAGGTAAACGCAAATTAATCGAATAGAAAAAATAAATTCCGCACGTCAATTCCTCTCTTTAAGTACCTAATAATATCCACATACATGTTGTATATAGGGAATGCATAGAGTTTGTCTGTGATCAAATAACTCACGCAAAAAGTCCAGATAAATTATGTTAAACATTTTGAAAACTAGTTGAATGTTTAAATTTTTATGTATTCTTTAATTTTTAGATATTCTTTAATTTTTATATATTGTTGAAGGATTAATTTTTTTTTTTAATATTTGTTATGGGATCTTACCCATAATAATAATGGACTATTCCATACTTAATATATACTTCGCTCAAGTCTCGACCGGCTGATCGGTTGAACTCTCTGCCTTCGGGCGGGGAGGAACCCGAACGAGGCCTCGCCGAAGGGCGGATTCTCTTTCGGGGAGGTAAACCGACGTTGAACCCGTTTATACGGGTTCAATGGGCATATTTTTGGCCGAGCTCACGGACTCGGAGATCCCACGTTAACCGGCCTTGTGCCACATGATGCCCTCGTAGGGGTGGTGACTGAATATCGTAAGTAGTTCAAGTCTCGACCGGCTGATCGGTTGAAATCTCTGCCTTCGATCGGGGAGGAACCCGAACGAGGCTACGCCGAAGGGAGGATTCTCTTTCGGGGAGGTAAACAGACCGTGAACCCGTTTATACGGGTTCAATGGGCATATTTTTGGCCCAGCCCACGGGCTCGGAGATCCCACGTTAAACCGGCCGTGTGCCACATGACGCCCTCGTGGGTGGGGGTGACTGAATATCGTCAGTATTTCAAGTCGAGTCAGTAGTTCAATTCGAGTCAAGAGTCGAGTCAGAGGCAGTCCGAAACAGAGTCGCGTTCAGACAATTACTGCAAGACATTGGAATTGTGATACTGGTCGAGACTACATTGTTCTCTCTACTCAACCTGATTGTTCATACTAACACTTCTACCTCTCTGTATATATTCCTGTTTGTAATATATCTGTGTTATTCCATATCTGTGTTCGAGTTCTTCTTTATTGGTTCTACCTTGGACTATCACCGTGCTACAAGGAACTGGACCATAACAATATTCTTTTGTCAACCTTTCACACCCATAGAACAACCGAACGAATTCAGGGAAAATGAAATGCAGTAGTTAACTCCTCTTTATTTTCACATTTTGCTTTTTCTGTTTTTTTATAATTTTCCAATTCCTTTTCATTGTTCTTTTGGTCTCTTCAATTTAGTCTTCATTAATACCTTTTTTCCTTTTATTCCTTCTTTTCTCTTTTTGCTTACATCATTTTTCCTTCATTTTTTTCTTTTGTTTCATTCGTTTATTCTTCATTCATACATGTTTAGTCTTTTCTCCCTCTTTGCTCTTATATTCATAATCGTTCTTTCACGTTTTTCTTTTTTATTTATTCTTCATTCATCCGTGATTTTCTTTGTTCTTTTTTTATTTCCGAACTTTACCTGCCTTCATCATTTTCCCCTCATTTTTTGTTCTTTTCTTTCATTCATTTATCTTCATTCATATAATTTTTTCAATTCTTCTTTTTGCCCACTTTTCTCTTCCTACAGTCATCATTTTTCTTTTAGTTTTGGTTTCATTCATTTATTCTTCATTCAATCATATTTCTTTCTTTTTATTTTCATTCTCTGCTTTCAATATTTTTCCTTTCTTTTTCCTTCCTTCATTCTTAATCTTTTCTTTAATTCAGTTATTCTTCATTCATATTTCTTTCGTTTTTATTTTGCTTCTCTGCATTCAATATTTTTCCTTTTCTTTTTCCTTCCTTCAACCTTGATATTTTGTTTCATTCATTTTTTCTTCGTTTATTTATTTTTCATTCATTCATATTTCTTTCATGTTTATTTTTCCTTCTCTGCATTCAATATTTTCCTTTATGTTTCCTTCATTCTTCCTTGATCGTTGTTTCATTCATTTTTTCATTCATTCGTATTTTTCGTTTTTTATTTTCCTTCTTTGATTTCAATATTTTTTTTTCTTCCTTCATCCTTGGATTTTTATTTCATTCATTTATTCTTCATTCATTTATTTTCATTCATTGATATTTCTTTCGTTTTTATTTTCCTTCTCTGCTTTCAAAACTGTTCAGTCTCTTGGCTTCCTTTATCGTTAAACTTTTGTTTTATTCATTTATTCATCAATTTTTTTCCTTTTTTCATTCTCTACTTTCAATATTTTTCCTTTCTTTTTCTGTCCTTCATCGTTGATCTTTTGTTTCATTCATTTATTCTTCATTCATTTATACTTCATTCATTCATATTTTTCCTTTTATCATTCTCTGGTTTCAATATTTTTCCTTTCTTTTTTTTCATTCATCTTTGATCTTTTGTTTCATTCATTTATTCTTCATTCATTCAGATTACTTTCGTTTTTATTTTCCTTGTTTGTTTTCAATATTTTTCCTTTCTTTTTCCTTCCTTCATCCTTGATCTTTTGTTACATTCATTTATTCTTCATCCATTCATATTTCTTTCGTTTTTATTTTCCTTCTTAGCTTTCAATATGTTTCCTTACTTTTTCTTTCCTTTCTCATTGAACTTTTTTTTCATTAATTTATTCTTCATTCATTCACTGCTTTTGTCATTTGTTACGTTCTTCTTAATTTGCTTCATCGTTCATCCTTGCTTTTAGCTTTTTTCTTTTATTCTTTCTTGCTCTTTCCTTTCATTTAATTACTTTTCAGTCATTTATTTCTTTTTTTATTGCATTCATTCATTTCATTTTCCTACATTCTTCTTCATGATTTTTCGTTCTTTCATTGATTCCTGTTTTTTTTTTCTTATGGCGCTTTACTGTCGTTATTTATTTTATTTGTTCCTTCCTTCGTTGTTTTTCTTTCCCAACATTATCCCTTCTGTTTTTTCTTTCTTTTTTTCTTGATCATTTGTTTCGTTCATTTTATATTTCATTCAATTTTGTTCTTTTTTTTAATTTATTTTACCATTTGCTCCTCCAGCTTTCGACTCTTTTCATTCATTATTGCTTGACTTTTTCTACATTTATTCTTCATTAGTCCATTTCTTTTTTCATTCGTTCTTTTTTTTATTTTCCCACATTGCTCTTTCACTTTTCGTCTATTTTCATTAATATTCTTTGCGTTTTTCTTCACTTATTCTTCAGTGCTTCACTTATTTTTTCCTTTCCTTCTTTTTTTATTTTTCTAACTTGTACTTTTGTCTTCATTTTGATTTTTGCCTTTCTTTTCTTTCTACATTACTCTCCCTGCTTTCATCTTTTCCTTTCTTTCTTCCATATTTATTTTCTTCATTTATTCCTCATTCATTCATTTCTTTTGTTTTCTTTTTTCTTTCCTGCTTATAACATTTTAAATATGTTTGTTTTATTTACGACGATTTTCAAAAATATTCTTCTTGCATATTTTGACACCTTCATTTTCATTCAGTTCTTCATGATTTTATTATTTTTTTATTTCGTATTTTCTTCCATTTTTCTTTCTTTCTTTTTCAGCTTTAAACTCTTTGAATTCACCGCCATTTTCACAAGTCCTGCAAAAAAAAAAAAAAAAAAAAAAAAAAAATCAAAAAAAAAAATTAGCAATATTTGAAAGATCTCATTTCTTCTTTCTTTTCCTGACATCGCCGCAATTATAGGACTAATTAACTTTATTTCAAATCTGTTTGAAAAAAAAAAAAAAAAAAAAAAAGAAAAAATATCCCCGCCACTCCACCAGGTTCAATTCCTCCGGTTGTCAGTAATTGAGGCACCTGCGCAGAATCGCGACGGGCGCAATATAGCTATCGCTTAATTAGTGTTTGAGACAAGATACCATTGAGAGAGAGTTTTGGTTCTATTCACTGGCTAGGTTGAATTTTGGGGGCTTGGAGTCGAACAAAAAGCAATGCTGAACTAGAAAAGTAATAGACAGGGGAAGAAAAGACAAGAATCAATTAGATAAAAAAATTCATGCAAAATGAAAAAAAAAGAGAGAAAATTATTGAAAAGAGAAGCATATAAGAATTCGAAAAAAGATAAGGAAGGGTAGAAAAATATTTTTGAACAATAAAATTGGCTAAAAGAATGATTGCAAATAAAACTATAAAGTCGGAGTGAAAATAAAATTTCCAATATAAAAAATATGTAATTAAACGAGATAACATCCCGAAATGATGTAAATGATAATGGTTATTTGAAACTGAACCGTTTCTATACAGAGTTAATATCAGGAGAAATTTATAACATGTTTTTCTTTAACTATTTTACAGGAAAATAAACTTCTTATGTCCACTAACTGTTATCACTCTTTCTAGTAGTGCTGGGTATTTCCTTCCAAAATGTTGCTTACGGTACTGTGGAAAGTTAGCATCTTGATTATATCATCATTTTTCCTTTAAATATGCTAAACATTTTAGTTGTTGTCTCAAGTTTTCAAATAATTCGTAACTACCGTTGTTTATTATTTTGTAGGGCTAGTCTATAGGATCTAATGACGTATTTCCTTCTTTAAGACATAAAGGACTAATTCGCTTGAAACTATTTTCAGTCTTTGATCTGAGAAAACGGCTGAATATACATGATAGTTAAGCCATTGCTTAATGAATTTGACGCCATACTTTTTTAAAAGGTATCAACCCATGCATGGAAATAAAGCCACTAATACACAAGTGATACAGGATGTGAAAGAATTAGGAACAGAAACATTAATAATGAAAGGGAAAAGGAAAGAATAATCAGGGAAATAGTAAATAGTGATTGATATTGCATTTACATTTTTGCAGATTAATGTTGGCTGGAAAACATGGAACCGGAAGGGAGTTCCACAAGCGAGAATTAAGAGAAAAAAAAAACTGTTAACATAGATTTTACAGTTACATCTTGCTAACTAAACTGTAAATTGAGATATCGAAGCTAGTTGAAAAAAGTTTAGATACCATATCGAAGAACTCGTCGAGACGCCAGATCAGGAACTATAATATTGCTGATTCATTTTTGGGATTTTATTAGGGAGCTCCAGGTAAATAGCATGGACACCGGTTCACCTATGGCAGAGATTCTAAGTATGACGAAACTATACTTGTCTTTGGCAGCAGTTTTTTGTTTTATCATTTCACACCAGTCAAGGCGGGAATGCCACCAGTACGCTGGGAGCTACAAAGAGTGAATGTGAGAAAAAAAAGATTGAATATTAAGAGGATTAAGGAGAGAAAAAAAAATGAACGGAATTCTAGAAGACAGAAGATGGCGATTCACATTGCATTAAAACTTTTCAAGATTGTATTGATCAGGGAAGCAAGTAAACGGAAGGAAGTTCCATAGGCCGGAAGCGCAAGAAAATAAACTGTTGTAACAGAATTGGCGGTTTCATTTAACTATATCAACAGTAATTGGGTGGAACCGAAATGCACGCTAAAATTCATGTAGCCAGGGTACCAGAGAAAAAAAAAAGTTATCAGAGCAGATGCCGTGGAAATATTTGTAGAAAAAACAGAGAGAAGGCACGTATTGTTTGTGAGAAAATAAGAATCTAGCAGTACGCTTAAATTCATGTAATTCGAAAAACATTGAAATAAGCTTATCAGAGCAGTTGCCTTGAAAATATTTGTAAAAATGATAGAGAGAAGCTACGCCATGTCGGTGAGAATGTGACTGAACTCGCGAGGCCGGGTCAGGACTGATTACATTAGGGATTCTTCTTTTGATTTGTGGTGTTGGACAAAAGTAACCCGAGGGCAGCCTATTCTTTATTCAATTTCATTATTACCAATATTTGTAATAAGGAAACATACAAAAAATAGTTGAAAATGAAGATTGATAGCTTGGCTTGTGATATGAGAGTCAAAGTTTTTTTTTTCTTTCATATTTAGATTAACAATTTCCCTTGAAAACTTGGATCCTTAACTGAAAAAAAAAGAAGACTTCCCCAGGTTATCAAAAAATGTAAAAACAGTGGGAGGGATGATATACTAACGGATTAGTGCTACTTGGAATCACCAATAAAGTTCAACAAATGACTCTCTATTAAATGAAAGATTGGGCAGTTTGAGGCGGTGTAGTGGTTAGCAAGCTTGTCTCGCTAGAACATATTACGACTGAGCAGTGAGTTTGATCCTCACTGGGTGCCCACCTGCTTCCAGCTTTGTGCCACATCTAAGCTATGCTTGGAAAATCACTATTAAATGAAAGAAAAATCTTCCTTTCTTTTTATGTGCCGTGTCTCTTCAGGACGTAGGCGATCATGGCCCGTCATTTCCCCCTATGTTGCTCTCAATATGTTTTGCTACTTCTCCCAGACCATGTTCTGTCATCCACTTTCTCATGCCAGACAAGTATGTCATGCGTTGCTTTCAATTGTCTCTTTTTCCCTCTATTCGACCTGTGAGTACCAGATTCTCCACGCCACCTTTTCTTATTATGTGCCCCAGAAATTTCAGCTGCCTCTTCCTGATGTTAAGTATAAGCCTCCTCCTTGTTAGTATCCTCTTCAAAACCTAATATAATATATAAAACATCTGGCCAGATTGATCAAACATCTGGCTTGTTTGATAAAACATCTGGCCTGATTGATCAAACATCTGGCGTTCTTGAGTATTTCGACGCAAAACGCTTGAGTCAGTTAACTTAATAAGTCACTTGAAAATTTATTTATTTTTTTAATAATTAAATACATAGTTTTCCTTATAAATAAACATATATTGTAGCAGTTAATGGTAATTAAACGATTCCTTATAATGGACTGGCTGAGAAACTGACCTTCAGGAGGAATTTCGGCTACCTTATGCGAAGCGTTTTGGGTCTTCGGGCATTTATTTTCAGCTTCTTAAGTACATAAACGTTATAGGAATTTAGAAATAATCAAATTATTTTATCTTTATGCGACACCTTAATTTGGCATAATATTTCTTCGTATACGCAACCGATCTCCGTAATTTGTTTGCATTTATTTTGCGCGTAATTTTTTTTATTTTCTCTTAAAAACACCATTTTTTAAGATCACTTCAGTTAAAGTGACTCTTAAAAGTCATTAAGGAAACCGAACAAAATAATATTTCGAATACGTCAAAGTAAATGGGTAGAAAAAGAAGAAAACATATATGAGCAACGTAGCGGGTCACGCTCATGCTTTACTTACAATTCAATTAAATGATGTCAATTGAAATTGTGACAAAAAGTGAAATTAAAGTTAAACCTTTAATAAGGAATTGTTTTTTTACCCTTTCACACTGTTCGATATTTAAATTTAACACAAAATAAGTTATTTGTTTAATTTTTACTCACGTGTAACTACAGAAGTTACTACCTGTTAATTCAGGTTGTTTATGATTCGCCTTGATAAAAATAAAAACAACAACAAAAAAACAACTGAGCCGACCAAGCATAGAAATAAATACAATATGGGAACCAGTAATAAGGTGTGCCAGTGAAAAGCAATGATAACAACAAAGTTGCAATATGAGCTCTGGTAAAAACATGTAATGATAACAGCAATATGAGCACTGGTAAAAATGGTTGCTGAAGTTTATAATGCCCAGAAATTCATACTCAGATGTCCACAGGGACACATGGCACAGGGGATAAAGGCGTTGGTTAGATCCAGTGACAGGACCCAAAGAGTGTGAGTTCAATACCCGGTTAAGGGGTATTGGAGAACATTCAAACATGGCACGTAGAACTAGAACAATCTACCCGAGTGAGCGAAATAAAGGGTTCAGTTCGACATTCCAACCACCTGAAGAAGGCCGGAGCGTACAACGGCCGAAACGTTGTGATAAATATGGCGACAAAGATGAGAACAATAGTCCGAACAATGTAAATAAGGAAAAAAAATACTGACGGACTGACACACTTACACTGCGTTATATATAGACCATTTAGCATTTATAGGACCGAGCAGACTGTTCTGCTGTTGGTTGAAATTTGTAAAATCTGTCTCTTAACACATTTTTAAAGAATATAGTTTTCTAGTCCAGTATGTATTAATGCTCTTTCTAGTATTGATGGGGGTTTCTTTCCTAACCTTTTGTTTGATGTAGTGTGGAACATCAACATCTTGGTCACGGCATTATTGTCTCTCCGAGTTACATGTAATATCAATTCTAGCAGCTGTGGTCCTCAAGCGATGTGGATTCTGCTATGTGCTACAGGTCTTTGTTTGGTGTACTGTAGTGCCAGTCCAAAATGTTTGAAGAATCTTTGACAATATTCACAGGCTTCCCTTGCTCAGACATTTTTAAACATAGATCTTAGAAATAAGTTATATATTTCTGAGAGTTTAGATATTGGTTTGACATCATATATGACATCCTTATGAAAATATCGATCTGACGAGGCTATTTAAGAACGGGTCTCGAATTTTCAGGTTAATG